ATTCAGCAGGAGATCCCTGAGAGATGTCCTTCCTGCTGAACTATCCTTTATTTCTCCAGATAGGTTGTGGAGTCATGGTCACACATCTGACAACATGACCTAAAGTTCACAGAGCTTGTACCACAAGAAATGTGTTAGTCTTTTAGATACCACAGGTCTGTCTGTTGTTTTCCTAGTGTGACAAATTCAAATGGGTTCATTGGTGGGGCCAACAGGACACGTGAAGATGGTTGCTAACAATTTCCCATACTTGGAAAAGAGCCAAAAAAGGTACTTTTAGGGGGAGAATGGATTATTATTGCTGAGTGTTGCAACTCTGATTAACAGATAACTACTGTAATTGAGTTACAGAAGATTGACTCACCAGTTATTGTACTTAAAGCAATAGCTCTTCATTTCCTGTACTGAGATTAAATTAAATGTGTCAGTATAAATATACTGGCCAAACGGCTGTAATAAAATGATTTGGATTTGGACAGTATAAAGGCACAGCTACCACAGAAAATTCTACTTGTCCCCACCCCACCATTTCTGATTATAATATCAGATGTTCTACCTCCCCCCCCCCCCGATCCCATTCAGCTACCAGTGATGGTGATGATGATGGGAGAGGTGTTGTTTGGAAATCTTTCACAGACTAGAAAGCAATCTTTCTCTTATCTTGTGATAAACATGGATGCTATTGCTATTAGACAATCTTTCATCCATCCACTCTGTAGCACAATTGGTATAGGGTGGGTGGATGAGATATTACTGTCTTAGGAAAATTGAAAACACTGTTGGCTTTCCCTTCTAGGTCATCCAATGGTGATCTCCAGTGGGATGCAGTCAATGAGCAGAATGTAGCAGGTTTATAATCTGGTAAAGCTCTTCAACCCAAATTTCTCTTTTCTTCAGTGCACTAGTGCTTACCCTCTTCAGCCTGAAGATGTTGATCTTTGTATATTATGGTCAATGAGGGGTGGGGTGGGGACAGTGTGCTGGTTGGGTTGTTCTTGGTCCTGGTCTCCATTGAGCAGAGCAACAGGTCAAGGACAGTTGGACTCCTCCCTCTACTTGGAAAAAGAGGCTGAGATCTTATCGATATCCTGGTAGCAGGAGAAACAGGGCCACAGGTGCAGTGGCTATCAAGAAAGTAGGGTTTGCATGGAGATGGCTGGTTTGATCTGCTTGTGTTCATTCCCTTTGCCTGACTCCAGAGAAAATATTCAGGCCAGTGTCTTCAGACCAGTCTGTGGTTCTTTCCCTCCCCATTTCTTCTTTGTCTCTCTTGGGTTTACAAGAGTTTTAGTCAGGATAGTGGCCAGATTAGTGTGACTATTAAACACAATAGAACCATTTCTTCTTGTGTTGTAACACCTGTTCTCTACATCTTATGTGCCTGTAAGGAGGCCATCCTTCATCATGTCCTTCCACTCTTCTGTCTTTCTAGAAATATCGATCAGTCTTTCCAAATATTCCTGTTGGCTATTTGGGCCATGAGACAGGCATAGCCATTTCTGTTGTAGCAGTTGCAATGGGAGCTAAAGTACTAGAGCACCACATTACATTGGATAAGACCTGGAAAGAAACTGACCATCTGGTTTCCCTGGAGCCCAATGAATTGACAGAATTGGTGAGGAGCATCTGCATGGTAGAAAAGGCTATGAGGTTGCCAGTCAAGCAGCTCTTGCCTGTGAAGTTGCCTGCAATGGAAAGGTAACTGTGCTCTTGTGCACTAACTATTGTGAATTAAATTGCCCTCCCCATTTCACTGATGGCAATTGCATCCACAGGCATATGTCATCAGGCAACAGAAAGATTGTCTTCTAGTCTGTGTTTTCCTCATTAAGTATCCCTGTCAGTAGTAGCAGTTTGTGACTTATCCAATGTTTTAGGTAGCTGTTTTCAGGGAATGGTTTAAACAAAAATGATCCAGCACCTTGCTAAATGTTAAAAGGTGATGCAGTAGTCAGTGCCTGGGTGGAAGGACACGTGGGAACGCTGTATATTATATGCCATCATGAATTCATGGGAAGAAACTCAGGATGTAAGGAAAATCTGGGCACCATGACCTTCCATGGCCAAGGTTTTGTGTTTGCTCATCAAAGCACTCAAGATTTTGGCACTGCACTTAGCTGCAGGATCTGTCTTCTTCATTGCTAGTGGGGAAACTAGTTCACAATCTAATAAACCATAAGCCTAGATTTCACATGGCTGTCCAGTGAGTGCCGCTGAGGGGAAAACAACTTAGATGATCACATGGGCATTTTAGATATGATTTTATATTGGATTTAGACCTTTTAATTGTTTTGAATTTTATTGCAATTTTAAAGGTTTTATCTGTGAGCTGCCTTGGGTGCCTCTGGGGAGAAAGGCAGGATATAAATAAAATAAAATAAAATAAAATAAAATAAAATAAAATAAAATAAAATGGGATGTCCCCATACCAGCTTCTTCCTTCACTGGTGGCTGCTAATATTGGGATGAAAAAGATCTTAGCAGATGCTCCATAATAATATAGTTGCTGGAAAAGAGAGCCTATTGTTGCAGTGTAGGTAGGGCCTCAGTTAGGGAGGCTATATTATATTGCAAGCTGTCACTGTGAATCCTTTTGTTGAATGCATTATTGATGTTCTCTGTTTTAAATGTTATTTTGCTCCAGCTTGCTCCATAGGCAAAACCTAGAGGTAGCCCTAGAGTTGGCTGAGCTGGGATTCGAATCCTGGTCTTCCAGAATTCTGGTCCAGCAATCAAACCACTATACCACACTGGCTTGCAGATATGTCTAAATCCCTTTAAACATTCACTCATACGGATGGTACTGACAGCACCAAGACAGATTTGAACCATTCTGCACTCCAGAAACAATTCATCACAGTCCAGGCCCTGTCAGTTCAGTCAGCATCTACATTGCAGAATTAATGCAGCTTAACTCCGCTTTAACTGCCATGGCTCAGTGTTATGGAATTCTGGCATTTGTAGTTTTGTGAGATATTTAGCCTTCTTTGTCAGAGACATTGGTGCTCCAACAAACTGCAAATTCCAAGATTCCACAGGATGGAGCCATGACAGCTAAAGTGGTGTCAAACTGTATTAATTCTGCAGTGTGGCAGCATAAACAGTTACACTCAGTATAGTTAGATCAGGTACTCAGAAGGCCTGAACAGACTGCCAGAAATAATCCAGCTTGAGACCACTTTAACTGCCCCGGCTCAGTGCTAAGGAATAATGGGAAATATAGTTTATTGTAGCACCAGAGCTCTCTGACAGAGAAGGTCAGTGTCTCAGAAAAACTACAATTCCCTTGATTCCCTAGCATTGAGCCAAGACAATTAAAAGTGGTTAGCTCCTTGGAGCTGGCTCCAGTAGACTTTACCTTATTTCTACCACTGTGGTATTGTTGTCACATGTGCAAAGTTCCTAGAAGAGTTTAATATGGAAAGAACTGGTTCTTAGGCAAATATGCAGAATGTCACATTATGAAACTCTCAGCTTCCTCCTTTTAGTTTATTGGGTCGATGGCAAAAGCCCTGAAAATGAGATAGACTGCTTAGAGGATTTGGTCTTTGCTCAGTCCATCTATGGACTAATCTCTCATTGGTTATGTAAAGTGAATGATTTGGATAATTTGGTGTTAACCAACAATTTTTAAAAGCGTGTGGGGGAGATTTCATCCAAAGGACCAGCTTCTTTCATATTCTGCAGCTCTTGGACATTGCACCTTTCAATTCTCATTTTCTGTTCTTGGTTCAGCAGGTTTTTCCTTTGTTTACATTTGAAACCACCCTGTTTCGGGAAGTTTGGGCTGGGGTGACAACATTTTAACTAAGTTATACAACCTGGCTGTTAAAAATAATCCTTCTCTCATCGATGGCTGCAAAATATTTGCTTACATGCAAAGATGTGCATTACTAAGGGAGTCATTCAGGCTGGACTGCATGAAAAACACGGTTCTAAAATAGGGGGTCGCTCAGTAATGGAGAAGTTGCCTTTAGTTCACTTGACACATGGCACATGGCAGAATTATAGCATGATGGTTCCACTTTAACTGTCATAGTTCTGTACAGTGGAATCCTAAGACTTGCTGTTTTTGGAGAATATTTAGAATTTTTAGCCACAGAACTGTTCTAGTGTTTCTGGCCAAATTGTAAGCCCAAGGATTCTATATTATAGCACTGTAATTGTGTAGTGAGAGCCAGTGTAGTGGTTTGAGCACTGGACTATGAATCTAGAGAACAGAGTCTGAATCCCTGCTTGGCCATGGAATCCCCTTGGGTGACCTTGGGCAAGGCACACTCTCTCAGCCTCAGAGAAAGGCAAAGGCAAACCCCCTCTGAGGAAACTTGCTAAGAAAACCCTGTGATAGGTTTACCTCCGGGTTGTCATAAGTCGGAAATAAACTGAAGGCACCTAACAATAACAAAACTGTGTAGTGTGAAAGGGCCTCTGAACGGACAATGAAATCAGCAGGGCTAGCCCTACTTTGAGGAAGAGTGAAGTAGGACTGAGGTGCCATGAAAGAGGAGAAAATGTTATATACTTTATTTACTACTGTATTTTTTACCTTTGGAGACTGGAGATGAGGGATTTTCTGCCTTGTGTACTCATATAACTTGGTTGGCTTTGGATACAGCTTTTGATGGGTGGAATAGGGGTACTATTTGATGTTCAGCTGTGGAGCCAGCTCTCACAGACACAGGAAAGGGAAAAATCATCTCTGACAATAAGACGGTCCCCTTTCTGCACACAAAGGGCTGAAACTGAGAGAATATTTGTGCCAAAGTGCCTTTCTTAGCCTTTTTTTCCTACCATGGCTGCTGTTTTGCAGCAAGAAAAAGTTTATGTTGGACTCTTTTGAGGAATCCATCCCTAGGCGCACTGTCCAGAAATGGGACAGTCACCCAGAGTCACTGTACTGTCCTGAATGTTCAAAATGGCCTTTGCTTCCCTGAAAAACAGGGCACTTTCCCAACTAATAGGACCACACAGAACATATTATTTGCAGTTCCTTTGTTCTCTCTATCACTTGGATGTCTCTTTTGCATATACATCCCTGGATAGATTTGCCTAGATAAGTAGAATGCTTTATGCAAATAGATTTCTGCAGAAAAAAAAAGTTTCCGTTTAACATTTGGGAGATGTTGTACAAAGGAAACAAATGAGATAAGTCAGTTGATAGTGCTGCTAGATGATTACTGGCAAATTATGAACTTGTATAGTGTTGTTTTGTAACAAAAACACGAGAACCCTTCACATCATAAATACCTCCCACCTCCAATTATACAAGGGGAAATTTGTTTGCTTGGTTTAGTTAACTCAGTATAACAGGATACCAAAGGAAATGGGTCCCATTTCTCACCTCTTGTGTCACCCTGCAGGGTTCTTCACAAGTGTTGATGATAAAATCTCTCTTTGGTTGATTCTGCCTGGCACCTGAATCTCTAGAGATAAACAGAGTTCTGTCTCTCTGTGGAATGCTTGTTTTGCTCTGCAAGAGAGGACCCATGTCATGAGCATGTTAACAGGATTACTTTCCAGTTTCCAATTATATCTTTCTCAGATATTATTTAGCTTAGTAATTCTCAGGCTGATGTGGGGAGATGGCAATGATTGTTTGCCCATGCGCCAAGGACTGGTAACTTATTTGTGCCCATTGGGCACAACTGTTTATTTATTTGCTGGAAAGTTGCCAGGGACTGGGACTGGTTCGAGGACCACCTCTTTGGGTAGCACAGATTTATGACTGCTTTTTCTCCTTTTTATGGTAACTTCATTATTCTTTCACATTTTTATAGTGATGTGAAAAAAAAACTGTTTTCTTTTTTACTTCAGTTCTGCAGTGAAGTGTTACTGTTGTTGCTGTGTAGCGTTGTGGGTTTATCTACTTTCTGTTCACCACTTCATTTCATATTCTAAAGCAGAGGTCTACCCCATGTCCCTTAGAGATCATTTGAGGGCATTTGGAGGCCCTGTTCAAAAAAATAATTTTCAGAGAGTGTGTGGCAGGAGGTTCAGCTCATCAAGTTCTTTTGAGAAGTTAGTGCCCGGCCCTCCAATATTTGCCTGCTCCTGTTCTAAAGCCTAGGCTACTTGTGGCTTGCTATATGTCATAATCCCCTCCTGCTGGTTATGCTGCTTACAGCTAATGGGAGCTATAAACAAAAGCTCTGGAGGTCCACATTTGGCTACCCTTCCTCTCAAGCTTGAGGAGTTTGCAATTTGTTGTTTTCCAGATGTTGTTGGACTGCAGTTCCCATCAGCCACACTCAGTTGGGAGGAGTATATACACTGTAGACCAACAGCTTCTGGAGGTCTGTAAATTGTCAACCTCTACTATAAAACTGTTAGAATTATGGTTTGGTTATTTGTGGTTAAATCTGTTTAGCAGCAGCAATAACAGCAACAAGCGTGTCCTCCACAGGTATTTGGTAAAAACAACTTGATCTGAGCTTCTACACACAAACATTGATGCTAATACTCTAACAAAAACTTTGAAGGAGAGATCATGGGAAGTATTTATCAAAACAATTATATTCCATTCTTTGACATGAAACAATGACTCTCAACCTTTGGCTCTCCAAATATTTTGGACTTCAGCTCCTAGAATCCTTGAGCATCTACTTGTCATAACTTGCCCTCTGGAGTAAGAAGATTCAGACACAGAAGAATCAGATTCCCAGGAATTTACAGTTCCTGATAACAGTGGCCTCTCAAGGAGGACAAATGCATAGAGGACACATTGTCATCCTTTTAAGATCATTGAAGAGATAAGGAGAGATTGTGGAGATTCCAGAGGCTGTTAAATAGGAAACACTGACTCATTAAGCCAGGGGTCCCCAAACTATGGCCCATGGGTCAGACCCAGCCCATCAAGGCCTTCCTACCGGCCCGCGGCCAGTTTTGCCACTGCCACCATTTCCCAACAGCTTCCTGACATCTTTGTTGCTTGCAAATGCTCTGTCCTGGTGACTGGCAGTACTCTTCTATGTTAGGGTTTTCTTGACCATGGACTGGCTATGATTGACAACTCTGTTTTACTTTTTGCTGGCTTCATTTATCTGGATTGCTGACTTGCTGTATCGACTTCTGAACCAGTTGACAACCACCCTCTTGTATCTCTTTTCATCTTGCTGGATAACCTATGACTAACCTGGACTGGATTAACTTGCTGATTGGAGCATAGGACACAGTTATGCTGGCTGAGGCTTCTCAGTTTTGAAATCAAAAATGTCTGGAAGGATGTTTAAGAAATTTAAGTGCCTTCCCCCATCGGTACAAACCTTGCAAGTCCGTATTGCTTTCCTGCCCCAAATCTTGCAAGTTTCAAAGCAGTGGAATCATGTGCTACTGCAGGTATTTCTGAATTGCAAGACTTATCAGCCATAGCCAGAATAACCAATGGTTAGGAGTGCAAGAAGATGCAGTCCAACAACATCCGGAGGACCACATGATTCCCATGCCTGTTTTAGAAGGAAAGTGGCAGAGCTACAAATGTAGGAATAAACAACCTGAAGGGTGTACTGCTGCCTCCCCTAGCTTGAAAGAGGGAGGAAGTGCGCATACTCATAGTATGCAACATTTCATCCTGTTCCTCAGGCTTCAGATGTGGCATGCAAACTATATTTTACAACAGCTTCTGTCTTTATTATTTTTCATGTTAAGAAGAGTAGATCAATTTGAATGAACTGGGTATCATTTAAAGGAACCAGACTTTGGTCCAGCTCCAGTGGAGACAAATTTGTGGAAAATACAATCCATTTTAAAGACACAACT